AAGAGCCTCAGATGAATTATGTATCGAATAATTCATCTACCTATTGTTTCAATTGTATCTTTGATGTCGGCTCAGCGCAGATAAACATTTACAAACATTTCAAAATTGTAATTAAACAAACTGTGAATCTGGGGTATGCACTTTCCAGTATGTTGAAGTTATTGCTGCACCCATAATAAGCCATTCATTAGGGAAGTAAGGAATGAATTCATGATGGCAAACCATATAGCAATCTTAATATCGCAAAAGGTATTTAGGTTATGCCTCTACACTTCCTGGAAGTCCATGCTTGTTTACTCCAACAAAAAGTGTTGGTATTTTCTAATGAGATTGGGTGACTGTGTGTATTCATGTTTTCTATAGCGTGCATGACAGCTATTGTCACCTCGCACCCGCTGTGGAAAGATAATGAGAAGGAAAATGCCCACGTCGTTGCCCCTTCCCAACAACTGTAGACGGGAAATTCTTTCAGAGACGTCAGGAGCAGATCCCCAACCGCCTGAGAGTTTTATCTGCCTCAAATTCCTTCAGCTCAGGGTCGACTTCTGTGCAGACCTGAGACCCACCATTCCTCTGATAAGAGCTGGGCAGAACAGACACATACTGTACTTCACACTCAGTGACACTTTACTTCGACTTACACTTCAATACACATCATCCCAAAGAATGATGCATTATATGTAAGGTTTTCATGTTTTTATTCAAGTACCACAATCACCTGCAATGGAAAGCTTAATCCTGGACGAACATGTTGGGTCTTTAAGAGCCTTGAAGTAACTTGTACCTACATTACTAGTTTGGCTGACATCAGGCTGATATGTATTTTATTGTATTGCAGTATTTTTCTACTACATTGCCTGAATACTCAAAGCAGAGCAGTCACCATACTGGATGTTTTAAGTTGGTTCAAAGTATTTTTATTTGAGATATATTTTAGTATGTGATGTGAAGGAAAGGTAGTTAATGACACTCAAGATGATTCAAAGAGTGTGCAACAGCTCGTAAAAAGGATATGTTTACAAAGGGAGAAACATAAAACCTAACAAATTGGTTCACAAGATTTGCTAGGTCTGTCAAATTAAACTCACTTACCCACATTGAAATAGCTTTTGCTCTCTGTAATCATTTCTCCCTGTTGGCTGTTAAAAAACATCATAATGTTATTCCAGTAAGAAATGTGTTTCTCAAGATTCTTAATAGTTTTTGCACAGACTGGAGGCTGTGAATTGTCTCCTCCATCACTTGGGCTACAGTAAGTACAATCTTTTTCATTGAACATGTGTGCACCTGTAAAACAAACATGGGAAAGTGTGGATCTATCCTTTAAGCAGTGACACAAAGTGAATCAAGAAGTATATATGAGGACACGACAAATCAAATTCCTCTATAACTATCCCTTGAAAAATGTAACCCAAAGCAGGAAAAAGCTTCCGTAAATATTCAGGTGTTTAATAATCAACTGTAAGTGTTAATTTGGGTCTCATTTAAAGTGTGACTAGCCATTATAGAGCGTTTTGTTCTCTATGTTCAGAATAAACCTGAAATGCACCCAATCAAGCTTATGTGGTTGAACAATTCCGAACTTTCAAATGGTATGTGTCAGTATTGAACCATAAGCCAAAAAAGAAGACTACAAACATATGAACTATTTTGAAAAATGAATGAAAAAGTGTAAGAATCAAAACAAGAGGCATCAACTCTAACAGACAAAATGTTTTATTCTTGTTAAGTAAACATTACGTAGCATCGGTTAATACTAATGTTATATTTCCATCTGCAGATGTTTCTTCCATAAGAATATGCAGGATTCATCCATCTAAGATCAATATTAAAAAAACAAAGAAGGAATACAGTAGAAATCTGCATGTTATTGGGAGAAGGGGTTGAGTGACAGCAGTGGAAGTTGTGGAGGGGAGAGGGTGGGAGGCACAACTCAAATCACAGCGTGTCCTTGGCAACGAACACAGCAACAACCAGCTTCAGTGTAGCAGCACTCATTAGAGGCGAGGCCGGCTGTCAGCAACACGGCTTCAGTCAGCGTGACTTCTAACCAGGCAGGAAGCATGGATTACAGTGTTTTTGCGGGAAAAGTCAATCAATCGTCCTCCCTCACAGCCTCCTTTTACTTCCAACCCCAGCATCCTCACTTCACAAACATTATAGTTTCTACTGCTTTGGGATTTGTTGGAGGTCATCTCCAAAGCACTCTCTCGCTGCTATCAGTCAAACACAACAGAAATTGGCCTGGGAATTTGGAGGAGATTTATTGGAGGCTGGAGGACAAGTCAGTATCCAAACAGTTTCTCCACACCTCCAACCTGGCTCTGTCCCTATCACACTTGCTTGATAATGCTCTGAAGCATCCTTGTGTCAAATAATGTCTTATCAGGTTGTGTGAGAGACAAAGGATACCAACAGCTGCGATGAATGGAGAAGGCAGAAGAGCAGAAGGTGAGGGAGAAAGTATAAACACACTCACAGCTGTTTATTTTGGCTCATGAGACTTCCTCTCAGGACTGCGTAGGTTTTCACACACTCGTCTGTTGTGAGTTTTGTTGCACCTGTTGATGGGACACCTTTTATATGTATGTAACATCACAGAATATGGATGCCAAGATCAGCGTCCTCTGTAGAGAAGATGCAAACATTCAGCAACTGTCAGTCAACACTGTTTCTTTTAAATAAAACGACTGAATGGTGCTGAAATCAATTCTGTCAAAAACTCACAGCAAACATCAAAGCTTTGATCAATATAGACTCTGCAGTGGTTTTATCTCGATTGCCTGTCAGCTGTTTCTGTCTTTACGATTTAGTAAATGTTTACTACGGCTGCAACTTATTGTTCGACTAACTGTCGCAGCTCTAATGTCTACAGAACACTGACTGTCATGCCACACATTTGTTGTTAATCTCCTGTCTTTTTACAAATGTACCCATCAAAAGCAGCCATAGCAGACTGTTTGGCTCGAGAGAGGTTTGTGGTTGTAAAAAGTGAAAAAGTAACATCAACACATTATCTGTTTGATGATTTCCACTCGTCTCCTATCTAAGCACACGTGTAATCAGCCCGAAGTGAGATGTACTCATTGAAACACCTGTGCAGGCTATACAAGCTTTAACACACAAGCAGAGGCGACTGCTGCTCCAACAAAGGAATCAAATGCAAAATAGCACCAGGCATAAATAAAAAAAAAAAGAGCCCAAATTCACCTGTCCTTCAGCCAAAAGATGCTCTAACATACACACAACTCTTATTTCCCACCGCTATCCAATTCTGGTGTCTGCAAACCCAAACTCCCTCTGGTACTTCCCTTGCCACATTTCACATACTCATAACATGTCAACCTCGACCATGCTACATATTAGCTTAAAACAATTGCTACGTTTTAATGCCTTCTCTATGGCAGCTAATCTGAAACCGTGCTAAAAACTTAAAATTAAACAGGTTGCCAGTGGTATCCCGGAGTTTTCACTGGAACAGAACAAAATGGTACATACCATTTTAATATGAGTGACTTACATCCTGCCAACAGCTGTATAAGAGCTGAACATAAATGCTTTTTGCAGAAATTCTAATGAGGAAGTCTAGGAGAGTTTAATAGTTAAGTCATGGGTTGTTGAATAGATTAGCATGCAGGTGATGAAGAAAGGAGAGAAACATGAAATGATGCACTGATGGGGGAGCTTTGGGGTTTGGAAACAAAACAAATAAGTAATAATCCCAGATTGAGACAAGTCGAACTTTAAGGAAGATCTTTGTGTTCAGTTGTTGATTCCTTAATGATCTGAAAATAAAAGACAACAGAGTTAAAAATAGAGACAACAAACGACTCCCCAGTGAGTTTTTGCTACAAAAGGCATCAGGTGTGCTTGTGAGACAGTGAGTGAGTGTGAAAACCTGCAGAAGGGTTCAACATTGCCCTCCAGAGGGTAAGGTGAGAGGTGCAATGTGCCGTTTTGTTTGCTTCAGTGGAATGTTCTGTAGAAGCTCATACCTCCCCATCTCTAGTCTCCACGGTTCGAACCAAGATGCTCCTCTTCACGTGGGCCTCGGGGGTTTTAGTGTCCAGGTTAGTTTCTAAAAGATGAAAAGACTCCAGTTAGTGTAGTGTAGACATGTTTTGTTATCCTCTCTTTGATGCCATGTACTATAGTTTACACATTTAACACAGTAAGAGTGAATATACTATTCTGATTGCCCCCAAAGAAATTAAAAATCTTTTGTGAATGCCTTTTTGGAAAAGTTGGGTGAAAGAGATCAAATCACAAATCTCTTATGGATATTTAAACAGTCTTTACTAATGATTTCGATGACCCCTTGATCCCCTAGATTAAAAAGAGGGGGTCATACTGTATGTGCTACTAACCTCTAAACTGCAGGTTAGAAAAGCTCTGAACTGGAATGGTGATCCTGAAGGAAAAAGAAAAGATAATATTTAGTATCTTTTTTAACATTTTGTGGTGGTGCTAAACCAACAAAGCTGTGTCTGACCGGCTCTCCTCTCCCTCCAGCAGCTTCCTGTAGGTGGCGATCTCGATGTCCAGGGCCAGCTTGACGTTGAGGAGGTCCTGGTACTCCTGCAGGTGTCTGGCCATCTCGTCCTTCAGCGAGTGGATGTCGTCCTCCAGACGGCTCACTCTATCCTGGTAACCAGAAGTCTCCATGGCGAAGCGGTCGTCCATCTCCCGGAGCTGACGTTCCAGAGACTCGTTCTGAAAGAGGAGAGAGAAGACGGAGAGATGAACACCAACATCTGATGCATCAGACTGAGGTTAATAAACTCACACTCTTATGTTACATTTCAACCACACACATTTTTTTCTTTTTATAAATGCATGTACCTCGACTGCTATGTTTCCTTTTATAAATCTAATACCTACCACTACAAAGTTTTCACTAATCCCTCTGCTTCTATTTTGGCACTTACTGCTAAATCAGTGTTATGATCTCCATCCAACTTAACATTATTTTTAAATAGCACTATTTAGGTAATTGACTTAAGGCAGTTACAACATTTGTGTTTACTGTTTGTCCATAAGACCCCTCAGAAATAGGAAATGGTATAAAAAGGGGAACACTTTTACACACAAGCTCTAACTAGGGCTCATTCTTTTAATTTCAATACAACAACAATGAGTCTTGATGCTGTCTGAATGAGCTGTTATTATGTGGCATCAAAATATATCATAACAATATTTCAAGTGTAAGGTTTCCTGGAGAAAATATGTGCCCAAATGTATACTAAATATTTGATTGAAGAAGCAGCGTAATTTAAATCTTACTAGAGCTGGATAAGATTAATGTTATGTTCTCAAATACTGTCTTCTCTTGTGGTCGAGTGGACTTACTGTTCCTCGTAGAGCCTCAACATCGCAGGTCAGCACTTGGACCTGACGCCGGTATTCATTGGCCTCCTGCTTGGCCTGGCGCAGGGCTTCTGCGTTTCGATTGGCTGCGTCTGTCAGGTCAGCAAACTGTACAAAGGCAAAAAGCCTGTGAGTATCTTCTCACAAGGATATTTTACTCTAATGACTTTAATTCTCGGTACTGCCAACTTAATGAGAGACTCGTGACCTTGGAGCGGTACCAATCCTCGGTCTCCTGCATGTTGGAGGTTGCCATGGTTTCATACTGGACCCGGATGTCCCTCAGAGCAGCAGTCAGGTCTGGTTTGGATACATCAAGGTCAACATGCACCTGCTGGGCCATGAGCTGCTCCTGTAACTCACGCAGATCCTGAGAGAGACAACAGTAGTGAAGAATTGATTCAAGTTCAAATGAGCTTCTTGATTGTGGTTAGCAATAGCTAAAGTTTATTTTGCAAGATTTCAATGTTTACCTCCTCATGAGTCTTCCTCAAGAAGTTTATCTCATCCTGCATGGCATCGATTTTCCTCTCTAAATGGACACGATTAAGAGAAGCTTCATCCACATCCTATGCAAATAATGAGATACACAGAGAGATAAAGGAGGCCAGTCAGACTAAACGAAAGTATGAATTGTTAAAATCATGAATTTAGAGAAATATCAACTGAATTACCTGTCTGTAGGCATTCAAATTGTTTTCTGCATCCTGTCGGAGACCCATCTCATCTTGCAACCTGGGTAAGTCACAAAGAAGCAGTAAAGGCGTGAAATAAAAGTGCTTCATACAGTAGCTGATCATGGACAATACAGATTATATTGAAACTCATACTAAACATATTTTAGAATAATTCTTAATTAACAGGAAAACCTACAATATTTACAGTAGATGTTTATATCACAACATACATTTTAGCATATATATTTGGGATGTTTTTAAATAATGACAAATGTCTTCTTTGCTCTATGCCTGATAGTAAGGGACTGTAGAAAAAGCACACAAGCACATTGAGACTGTCCTGTTTAATAATAGCCAAACTACAACAACTAGAAACCTATTTTAAAAATGTTGATCATATTTTTTACTGTGCTGCTCCCCTAGCTTCAGGAGGCGACTGGGGCTCAGCTGAAAGGGCAGTTCATGCATCGTTACACACAGGGGCGGACTGGGACTAAAATTCAGCCCTGGAATCTGACCCAGACCAGCCACATTCGGGGGGTGGGAGCGGTGGCATCAGAATTTTTTTTACAATAGCCTACTATTTATGCAGTTCAAGTCAGGGGCGGCGGGTACTGTAGGCTAGGGAAGGCTAAGCCTTAAATAATTGTGTCACTGCATCCTGGTAAAATAAAAATATAATGTATAATGTTTGTGTCTTTGACATTAGCGCTGCTATGCAGCCACCTGTGCCCCGTACTACGAAGCCAGTTCAACAGACCCTGGATATGTTTGAGTTATCTTAACTAACCCTAACAAACGAGATCTCGCTAAGTGGTCCTACGACGCTGGTTATCAACTCGGTAAATCAAGCCAGGGTTTCCCTCTCCAGCTGAGAGCACGTGAAAGGGGCGGGGTTAGCTACATTTGACCGTCACAAACAGGGACAAGTGTACTGACAGCACAGCATCATACTTCATTAATGAAAAGTAAACTAATATTAGACAAATATGAACTTTAAACATCCATGACTTAAACATATAATCCAGGATACAAGCCACATAGTTGCACCTGCAAGGTGAATATATAACAACTGGTTAAAAAATAAATAAACTAGGCTACCGAGTGTTTGAATGCGTACAACAGTTTTATGATATCACTGCCCCATAAGACACGAGTGGATCTGACTTTAATTACATTTGAGTCAACCTAATGTGTTGCTTAAAATAATACTTCTGCATACAGTATATGTGACAATGTAAGTGTTGCACGGCCAGATACGGCTCAAGAAGCTGACTCAGATAAGGAAATATTGTGATATTATATGATCGATGATCTGATTGATGATGTGATATGAATGATAAGTGCGACATGTCGGCGTCTTCTCTGCATAGGCTACGGCAGTTTAAACTGTATTTCCTTTATTCTGTAATATGACTTGATAGATTTAAACTTCGCACACTGAACTCTAATTGGTCAGCAGGCGGTGCTTTCACTGAGTTGATCTCTTTTCTATATACGCCGGAGGCGGGCAGCGTCAGGTAAAAAAAAGTTATTTAGCCTTCCCAAACCTGAGCTTCAAGCGCCGCCTGGTTTAAGGGATAATTCTCACCTAAAGAGGGCGGACACTCCTCAGATGTCTTAAACACATGGGACATCGTAAAACAGTAAACACACAAACATACAGTACTATTTGTTATTAGTTATTAGAAATCAGCTGTTTATTAGGCTGCATTTATGCAGTTCAAGGGATAATTCTCACCCACCTCTTGCTCTTGCCCTGCTCTTGTATCTGGTTCTTCCACCAGCTCAACTCTGTCCCTCATCATGAACGCAGGAGGCTGGCTGTATATCTGAACTCGCGCCCTCATCATTCTCTTCATCATCTTGCACTTGTTCTAAGCTGCTGATGATAGTGCTTGTGGCAGCGCTGCTGCCAAAAAGGTCTGTCAATTTGCGACATTTATATGCTTCACCTGCGAGTGACTTCACCATTTTTCCTCTTGCCTTCTCGCCCCCACCGTTTTCTTTGATTTGTATCTATGTTTTTCATTCTCCCTGTCTCTGCGTCTAATCCCTTCTCTTCGTGTGGCCGGTCTTTTTTCTTCTTCGTGTGTGATTATTTGACAAATAAGAACCACACAACTGCATTAGCGGCCGCTGTCGCCCTCTGTCGGCCGTCAGCGCAACTTAAAAGATGACGTTAAATAAAACAATTTTAAAGGGCCGGCCGGCCGTCAACGGCCCTTGACGACCGGCCGTTCTGTGGTTCTCCAGATTCTACAGATGGCCAGTCCGCCCCTGGTTACACACTAACTCCAGTCTAACAGCCAGAGGACTTTCCCACGGGATGGAGTTTACAGACAAACACAAACGCACAAAAGGGGGTCCATGTGTGCAGATACATCCTCAAGCACAGACACACACAACACTGAAATCCGCCTGAGGCATAGCAACATAACTGCCAAGTAACATATTTTGGTAACATTTGCAGTGATTCATGCAGACAGGGAAGCAGCAGAATCACGATAGTGACCTTTACAGCGACGGCCATCACTATTCACATCTTTCAGGATACCAGCAGCTGTTGAGAGTTGAGAGGAGCCCGAAGTACAACTTTCTTTTACCCTAAGGGAAATTAAATAGTTTATTCTCCTTAATTTTTAACAATAAATCCATACCAAGTAGAGTTAAGTTAAACAAACAAAAAACCTGGCTATGCGCATGCAGTGAATCAGAGTTTTACAGTAACAGGGGACAAGAGAACATCTGCCTGCCTGTCTCATTTGTGGAGGGCGGCCATTGTGTTTGCCTTATTCCTCGTCACTCACTAAATGACAACGAGGGGTTCAGACAGGATCAAGTTTGTAAAGAGGGATCCAGGAGTAAAGCTGGGGCAGAGCACGGTGGTCTGCATCGCAGCCAATCGGAGACAATCCAAATCTGCATATAAATGCATTCCTAATTAAAAAAATTAAAAAATCTCAGCTGTGCAACAGACAAACTGTTCGGAGAGTGTTTTAAAATATGCAAACTGACTTTCCTGTAAGGGTATTAAAACAATTCCCCAAGTAACATTTGCAGAGCATAACCATTAATGCAATGCCAAGTTGACCAAAATTAGTTTTGTGTCCAACTCCAGCTAGGGACAAATGTAAGTCCCACTTTGCATAAAATAAGATGCATAGAAGAGGTTAAAAAAATATGATATGTCTTAAGGTTTTGTATACTTTGAATGTCTAGTTTTACTGTCCACACAACTACGTTTACATATAACATATTAAGCTTTGCTGTCAAGTGCCATCTTTAACATAAATGTAATGTAATCATCAGAAAGGACAAGTGAGAAAGCAAAAGTCAGTCTTCTTATAAGCCCCTTTTAGAGGCTGTGCATTGCACTAACATGCTTCCACCCCCAGGAGTCCCACCCTGCTCCATCCTACCTCTGCTTGAGCATGGTCACATCTGCAGCCAGGTTGTCCTTCTCTATCTCCAGCCGAGCTTTGCCAGAAGTGAGTCCGTCCACCTGTCTGCGCAGCTCTCTCAGCTCCTCCTGGTAGATGTCTCCCATGCGGCTGGGCTCCCTCACCTTCAGCTGGTTCAGCTCCTGCACCAGCACCTTGTTCTGCTGCTCCAACAGGCGCACCTTCTCTATGTAGCTGGCAAAACGGTCATTCAGGCCCATCATCTCCACCTTCTCGTTGGTGCGCGTCTCCTTGTACTGGGCCTTCATCAGGGATTCAGCTGGGAAATCCAGCCGGTCCATGGTGCTGCCCAGGAGCAGGCCCGTTGAGCCCAAGGAGATCCGCGACACAGGGCTGGAGTGGGTGAAGTTGCGGGGGGTGCCATGCCAGGAGAGGCGGCTGGAAGAAAGGCTCCCAATTCTGACTCCTGTGCTGCCGGAGCCCTGAGGCCCGTAACGCTTCCTGTACGAGGACTGGACTCTCTGACTCTCCATGATGGGAAATGGAGCTCACTCGGGGCAATACCAGGGCTTTTATAGGCGAACCCCCCCCCCCCAAGTCCAAAGCAAAGAGGCCAAAGGGTGCAGCAGAGAGAAGGGAGGGTGGCAGGCGGTGAATGGGACAAAAAGTGAGAGCGGAGGGTTGGTTTACATGACACTCAAAGAACTGTGTGCCAGGGATTGTCTGTGCTCGTCCACTCAACTACAAATGTCTCTCGGCTTTCTCCATCTCTCTCCCCCTCTCCTCCTTTCTCTCCCCAGCCTATGACTCACTCTCTCACTCTTACACTTTTTTTTGTCTTTCTCTCTTTCTTTCTGTCCCTGCTGAATGAAAAGGAATTTGTGTGACAGGGTCTGGCCACCAATTCAACCTGACCACAGCACTGCCACAACAACAGAAAGTTTGATCAAACAAAAAGAGTTGGAGCTTTTGGGAAGAGATCTTCAAACTGGTAGGAGCAAACAGCAAAAGCTTTAATAAGGAGAAGATAAATTAGACACAGAAATGGTGAAATGGTCTTCCCTTCAATCCCCCCCTACGTTCAATCTGTCCTATCTTTATAATGAAGGCCAAAAAAGCACTATACACATCTTTGAAAAAAAGGAGTGTTTGAGGTAATACATTTAACAAATCTTATATCAAGGCATGCAAAACATGTTTGTACACCAGATTAAGCATGCGCCATTGGCACCAAGTAACGCTCCAGTGTCAGCACAGATGGATGATTCTAATGAGCCCATGCTTTTTCTGTTACACATTTTTTTTTTAATCAGCTTATTAACATGACAAAGTCACACAATCTACATTTGAACAACCATCATGCTGCAGGAGCACATGCACACCTTTATGAGTACAGGGGCTGTTTATAGAGGCTCCAGAGAGACTGTAGGACTCTGGGCTGTTCACTGTGTTCGGGTTATAAGACGTCCTGTTTGGCTCCAACACAGATGGATGGTAGAGCCGAAGAGGGGGGGGGGGGGGTGCAGGCCTAATCTGAACTCCAGGAGGATAGAGGCTGCGTTACCAAACCATTTTCACCCATTACCTTGACAACCGCAGGGCTGGCTACGTCAGCACACTTCAGCTGATATTTTTCAGACTTATTTTTGAAGGGCATGGTTTGTGGAGATGAGATTGACTTACTTGCCCTTGTTGCACTTCTCCAAGTGTTCATCTATGAAGAATATTTAAGGTATTAGAGTCCTATGACACAAAACACTGTCACAAAGAAAATCTTAAAGTTGTAAGAAACAAATGTTTTCCTTTTACTTGTTATCATAAAGTAAATGTTTATTGTACATGTACTGCCTCACTTTTTCGTGAAATTCTGTCTGCCACCAGGTACCATCTCTCAGAAAAATTAAGGATCGATTTGCGGCCCAAAGATCGCCAACCATTTTGCAATAAAGGTAGAGTAAAGCACTTTTGTTTTCGCCGGCAGCTATTGGTAGCTCACCCCAGATTCAAAGTGTCAATGTACCATTTTCGCAGTTACTTTCCCCAGTAACAGAAATTATCAATCTAAATCGAAGAAGAGGTCAAAAATGTATAGAAACCAATGGGTGCCATGTCTTGGGAAACAGCCGGTCAAAAACTGTGAGCACAATTGAAAATGTTCCAGCATCGATTAATCGGTCAACTCAAACAAGATTTGTAGTTAAGGAAAACAGAAAGTAGTGGAATCATTTAACTGTGGTGTTGCTACAGGTTATTAAACCGTAACAGCAGTGGGACATAAAGGACTTCTTTGTTGCTGGATAAAACACAGGGAGTGGAAACCAGTGCTACTGGGAGACAGTGGATAAAGCACCGTATGACTTTACTATCTGCCCTTTGAGTGTTGTCGTTGTTAAGGAAGCAAAACAACAACACAGTGTCTTGAATTCAAATTGCTCTCTTGGTAATAGAGGTTAAACAAGATGGCACACTGTAAGTCTGGCAGAGATTTGTTGATTTAAAGGCTCTATTGCTAAGGATTAATGCCGGGGTTGCATCATTAAGGTGACACTAATTGTTTGGGCTCTCTGGATTTTTTAGACAATCACGGCCGTTGCCTCAGATCTGGTCTCTGAGGTAATATGTCCCGATGATTAAACATCCACAGAGAGAGAAGAAAGGGAGTTGGGGTGCAGACCCTTCCCTCCCTGCTGCTGGAGTCAATGCAGGGCCAAGCCAAACAGCTGATTCATGTGTCCGACATCAGGAGAGCACATGTGCAGGACTTACAGGAAAAAAAAACGGTGCAGGCAGGGTAGAATCTTAATGCTTCTGGACTCATTCTGATCTCACGCCAGGGAGACATGGCTGCTTTGTGCTCTGGCATTTTACACCCACAATCCCCAGTGTGAACCTCTCCTCAGCCATCCCTCAACCTCACTGATGGCCACATACCAAATTGAATTCTGTCTAACGAGCTGGAAAAACTAGCAATTTAGCCCCACCTTCATAACTACATCATGGCCCTGATTCCCAGGATATTAAAGGGGGAGGAGTAGGCCTTGATCTAGAATAGTAACTGAATTAAGGAAACGTGTGATTTTGTACTTCTTTCCCATAAATCATGAACTGAATTAAGCAAGATTTGTTTCCAACACCTGTGTTAGTTGTCATGAGTGAGGTGTATGGCTGCCAAGCAATTTGAAATAGATCACATAAAACGCATCTAATTGCTAATATTGGAAAACTACAACAAATAAAAAACATATATGAGTGTGTGCGCATCTGTATGTATGTGTGTGTAAGAAGAATTGGGGTGCCGGGGGGAGGAGGGGTTTGCTGCCTTTAAGTATGCCTTTGGTTATGTTTATGTTTGTTCTGCATTTATGTATAAAATGTGAAACAACAGAAAAAGATATAAGAACACCCACAAAAGAAACACAATATTATAAAGTAGCATGAAAAGAGTAAATGTACCTAGTTACCTTCTGTCACTGCTTATGAAAAAGTATTATAGCAAAAGCCAACTTAAATGTACCATTTATTTTTAACATACCTGGAGCACTGCATCATTAAATAAAACCAGAGTGTGGCTCATTTGTGCTGCTGAACCTTAACTAGCCTACATGTCTAAACCCTGAGAAGTGACAACTTAAAACTAAACAGATAAATGCTTGGTTGAAACGGAACCAGCAATGCCTCATGGGAATGAGCTGTGTCGAAAATCAGGGGGCTTAACTTTGACAGATAAGCAGGCTAAATGACTCGGCACCGCCGAGGTCCAAACAGAGCGCAGCCACAAAGAGGGCCGGTTCAGACCCGAAGCCGCAGTCTGCCTGTCAGCAGGAATGCTGGGACCCAAATACACAACACACAGATCTGCATACCACACACAGCGCATAACAAGCAAAGCACGCAGACACTATCTCAGATTCTAGTCTGTTCAAAAATGATGGTTGTTTGTATATTGATACACAAACTGATGGTCATCTTTAAATGTGACTCAGATCTGATCAGATTTGTATCATTAAACAGGTCTGAGAATCTTACCATGCTAGCTGCTCTGTGAGGCCACCTGGTTGTGCTTTGCGCTAAATACCATCAACATGCTAACGTGTTAGTTAAAGTTAAGATGATAGAATACAGATGTTAAGCGGCTACATTTCTTTTAACTTTATCTTAGTAGTAGTGTTTGCAAACTCACTTTATCTAATTGGCACTTAACGCATAGGATGGAAGCACATTTCTGCAAGTAAAAGTAATAAACAAAATGAAAACCTCGCTTTGTGAAAACAAAAAGAAATCCTAGAAGTATCAGAATGTATTATCATTAAGCTTATTTCTCGAGGAGATAAGTTATGACACATTTTCAGATTTTGAGATAAAGTTGTTATTTTCAAGAAAGTTGTAATTTGTTCCAAATTCCAAGTCATTACTTTGAAATAATGATTTGTTATTTTTAGTTTTTCCTTATATTGAGAAACATTCTTCATACTTCATCATTATTTTGAGAAACAGAGTAATGACTTTTTAAATAATTATTCATTATTTAAAGTTGCACATTATGACTTACAGGTTCCCATCACATTGGCAGAAGTTGGCTTCCTTAGTTTGACAGATATTTGGTTAAACATCCACATCTTGGATGAATTCAACTTTTGACCTGACTATGGCACAAGAGGAAACATTAAGTAATCACTAAAGTAATTACAGTTCATCTGCAGGGACATAAATGTGTGTGCAAATGTCATTGCAATCCATTGCATATTTGAGAACATTTCACATACTCAATAGGATGTTGTCCTCTGAGAACCATGAATGTCAGACACCAAATGTAATGGCAATCATCTTACTCAAATAATTCCAGAAATATTTCAGTCTGGACTAAAGTGATAGCTGATATGTCATTATATATGGAAACCCAACATGTTCAATTCAAGATTTAACTGCTCAAACAAATACTTTCTGACATATAACATTTAAAGGTTAAAGAGCGAGAGGGAAGCAGAGGGAGGCAAACATTCACAAAGCGCCTTGAATGTTGAACAGCTGCCAGCTCCTTCTGTTCCGCCTTAATATACGGACATTATTATAGAAAATAGGCCACGATACAGAAATGTTCATCCTCAAGCATATTGCTATCATTTCTTTGACAATTCTGCGTGTGTTTGACCAGGTAGAGTGCATTGATTCATTTGGAGGGAAAACTATTTATGAAAAACAGGCTGCATGTACAGCTTCATTGTGAAAAACAAACACAAGCTTAAACAGAAAAATACTTCAATCCACTGTGGCCATGTTATCAGTCTAGAATCTTTCATTGTGAGGGTTAACCAGAATGAATCAATTCATGAAGGCAATAAAAACCAAACCTGTCAAAAGCAATGCATCTCTCAAGAAAAAGGCCCTTTGTTCAATACAATCTGCTTTCCCATCTCACAGCCAGACACTGTTGCAGAAATCTCTCCTTCCTGTGTGTGCCTTCTGATTTCCTTCATGTGGAAAAAAGGAAGAACATAAATGAGGGAGAGCAAGAGAAAAAAAACGTGCGCATCAATCAAGTCGCTTCTACTGCC